AGAATACAGAAAATAGAACAGAAGAAACATTATTGCTGCTTTAAATGTACATTAATCAGCGTACATTAAAATGAAATTGCATTGCATTCAGCTCTCAAAAAATGCTGTTTTAGCATAGACACACCTATACACACACATATATGACACAGAGAAATATCAGTCTAATTCGAATGTATATATACATGCAAAAAAAAAAAAAAGAATCCTGCAAGTTTACTAGATGGCATAAGGAACAAAGTTGTTACAAAATCCAGTAGTTGTGTTAGAAATGTTTCAAAATCTCCTCCCAGAGGGGAGCAACAGAAACAGACCGTGAAGTGGGCGTGTGGGGTCTCTAAAAATGCTTTGAGCTCTAGGCACATGACGCTTATATCCTGCTGGAGCAGGAGACCCTGTACCATTTCAGACAAATGGCTGTCCAGTCTCTTCTTAAAAACCTCCAGTGTTGGAGCATTCACCGCTTCTGGAGGCAGGTTGTTCCATTGGTTAATTGTTCTCACTGTTAGGAAGTTTCTCCTTAGTTCCAGGTTGCTTCTCTTTCTGATTAGTTTCTTGCTTCTTGTCCGTTGCTTCTTGTCCTGCCTTCAGGTCCTTTGGAGAATAGTTTGACCTCCAACTCTTCTCAGTGGCTTTAATTTTTCTTGGGAGGGGGGAAAGGGGGGAATGTTTGTGTCAAAAATATGGTAAATAAATAGATTCCAAATAGAGGCAAAAGAGATGACCGTTATCTCTTTATCATTCACAGGGAATTATTATCAGCAGGGAGAGATTCGTAAAGGAGAATTGATAGAAAGCTGCAAAGTTCTCGGGATTCCTTCTTCCAATGTGACTGTCCTGGACCACAGGTAATTTGCTAAAAAAAAAGTAGCATTGTTGGGTTGTGCAAGAAGTCATAGAATCATAGAGATGAAAGGGAACTTCGAGATCATCAAGTCCAACCCAGGATTCACTACACCAGGGGTAGGCAACCTTGGCTCTTTTATGACTCGTGGACTTCAACTTCCAGAATTCCTGAGCCAGCATAGGGGAACTATGGCCGCCTTCATGACTCGTGGACTTCAACTCCCAGAATTCCTGAGCCAGCATGGGGGAACTATGGCCCCTTCATGACTGGTGGACTTCAACTCCCAGAATTCCTGAGCCATCATAAGGAACCTTGGTTCTTTTATGACTCGTGGACTTGAACTCCCAGAATTCCTGAACCAGCATGAGGGAAACTTTGGCCCCTTCATGACTTGTGGACTTCAACTCCCAGAATTCCTGAGCCACCATGGCTCAGCTTGGAAACCTCTCCCTTTCCCCTCAGCATGGCTGGCTGAGGAATTCTGGGAGTTGAAGTCCACAAGTCATAAAAGAGCCAAGGTTGCCTACCCCTGCACTACACCATCCCCAAAAGATGGCTACACGTAATCCTCGACTTACAACTTCAATTGAGTCCAGAATTTCCGTTGCTAAGCAAAACAGTTGTTAAGTGAGTTTTTCTCCACTTTACAACCTTTCTTACCCTGGCTGTTAAGTGAATCACTGTACTTATGAAGTTAGTGACACTCCTTAGTTCTAAGTTGGATTTCTCTTTAATAATAATAATAATAGTAGTAGTAATGATGATGTTGATGATGATGATGATGTTGGAAGGGACCTTGGAGGTCATCTAGTGATCCTGCCCTCAGGTGCTTTGGAGAATGAGCTGACCCCCCTCTTCTTTGTGATGCCCCCTCAAATACTGGCATATGGCTATCATGTCCCCCCCAATCCTTCTTTTCTCTAGACTGGCCCGACCCCAATCCTGCAAGCTGTTCTTCATATGTTTTTGTCTCCAGGCCTTTAATCATCTTAGTTGCTGCTCTTTGCAAGAACAGAGGTGGAGACAACTTGGCAACTTATATAGACTCATGGACTTGCTGGCTGGGGAATTCTGGGAGTTGAAATGTACAGGTAGTCCTCGACTTACTGGTTGGGCTGACACACACCACCTCCCCGTCCAGCTTCCCACACCCCAGAAATGGCATTTTAAACAGGCGCAGGGCACGCTGTGGGATTTCAGTGCCCCTCCCCGACAAAGTGAATCAGCTTTATAATAATAATAATAATAGTAATAATAATAATAACAACAACAACAAGAAGAAGGAGGAGGAGGAGGAGGAGGAGGAGGGGGGACCTTGGAGGTCATCTAGTCCAACCCCCTGCTCAGGGAGGAAACCCTATACCATTTCAGACAAATGGCTGTCCAATCTCTTCTTAAAAACTTCCAGTGTTGGAGCATTCACAGCTTCTGGAGGCAGGTTGTTAATAATAATAATAAAGTTGGAAGGGACCTTGGAGGTCATCTAGCCCAACCCCTTGCTCAGG